ATTTGTGTAGCTTTTCCCTGGCTCTTGTGATGCCTTGTTGTTTTTTCCAGTTGTGAAAGTCCTCACATCTATTGTGCTATATTTCTTGTAGATACTTGATGATCTCTTGTGTGAGTTCTTGGAGACATGCTTTTCTTGTGTTTCAATTAGGAATTAATTCATTGATCATCCTAATTGTTTCTTTCAGGATGCCTCCTCGAATAGCAATTTCTAGATATCGTTTATAATGTAGAGCAGTATTGATTGAATACTTTAATAAGGTATTTTTGATCTTGTTGTGTTCGCTGAATTTTGTAACAGTCTTTTTTATGGTTTTCCTGTTGGAAAATATAAAGAGAATAGGTTAAAGAAAGATTATATAGTCTGTTATTTGTTAGTTAATGGAGAGTGGGAAGGGGGTATGGAGAATCAGAAAAGAACACGGATCTGACATTCTTACCAAGCCTTCATAAAATCCACAAAATTGTGGTAATAAAAAATGAACCAGTTTTATATTATCTCAGAAGTGATGATGAATATCCTCCAAAGTAGGGATTTGTGAGAGAGGAGCTAATGCACGTAGATTTAGAAAAACTTCAGTATCCATTCCAGAGTATATTGAAAAAAAATACTCATTCCAGGTCTGTTAATTTCATTCGTATTATTAATAAAATAGTTAAGGAGCAAGTTTATATTGAGAAGCGCAGTGAGGAGTGTCTTGATAAAACCAATCAAATAAATGGATATGATATATATCTCTGGATATGTGGATCCCATTAATGGTATGCACCTTATAAAATTCAGAAGCAGAAATTTGAATGGTGTCCAATTTGTTTCCATTATGATAATGAGAGACACTGTAGATATATTTTTGAAGATTTGTTAGATAAAAAATTTCCATCTTGTAGATTATCATTTTTAGATGGAATGCAATTAGATGGGTATAATAAAGAGCTAAAATTAGCATTAGAATTCCAGGGGCCTCAACATTTTTCTAAAAATCCAATGTTTTATAAATGAAGCAAGATAGACTTAGATAGTCAACAGACATGTGACCAAAAAAAGTGAGATGTATGCAAAAGAGAGGGTATAGATCTTATTAAAATACCATATACATGTGACTTATTATCCTATATCAAAAGTGATTTGCTTAAAAAAGGATATTTAAAAAATACAGGTATTAATGAACACAATAATTGATACTATCTTATTAGTTAATAATATCATACTCTGAATTCAATTGTGATGGGATATTTGGATACCTTACTATTGGTGCCAATGGAATGTCTTTGAATTTATATTGAATATGTGTTATGATTTTATTAGTAATATCATGAGGGATATTCAACAAAACCTTTTCACATTCTTTCTGAATTACACGTATTAACCACCCGATATGTATTAATTGACCACCTTTATCATTATATCCAGTACGGAGCAAGAAATGAAAATAATCTAACACAATATTGGTTGCCATTCTTTGATCTGCAATAATTTTTTGGTATAATAGATTAGTTTATTCAGAATGAAAGATAAAGGCATGTCCATATATATATATAACATCAATAAGACATCTAAAAAATCATCAGAAAGAATGAAGGGTAATAGGTATTCACCAGAATACTCATTTAGGATACTTATAAATGGAAGCTCAAATAGTGAAAAAACTAATATGGGAATAAATCTCATGTTAGGTAAGAAACTCAAATGTATGTTCAATGGGAAAAAAGGTGATTGGTATATCAGAAATGATGATCTGGTATTAGTAGCGAAGCATTCTGAACCGAAATGGGAGTTAGTAAAAAATGCATATCAGATCTTTGCAAATGCCCCGAAACCATATCGAGAGGATGTAACATTAAAAAAGATAGCACTAGACAAGATCCCCGATATAACTAAATTCTCTCCAGAGCGAAGTACAGTTGTTATTTTCAAAGATCTATGTGCGGAACCAAAGAAAGTGCAAGAACGAATTATTCCTTACTTCATTAGTGGCCGGTACCAAAATGTCTCACCTATATATGTGAGCCAGAAATATACACAAACACCTAAAATTATTCATGAAAATATCTCACATTTATGCCTATTTCGGGGCTCGGGTAGTAGAGATGATATTAATAGAATCGTACGTCAATACACAGATGATCCGAAAAAAGCATCCAAGATAATTGATAAACATTTACGGGATCAAAATTTTGTAGTCTTTGATTTTACTAAGGCCATCGATAATCCTCTAGCAGTTAGACTCGGTTGGGACCAGCCTCTTGATCTTTTTAATGAGTAGGCTCGAAGAAGCTGAGCTCGAATCTCGATTTATCGCCTAGGCACGCAAGTGCCATTGTTCCACAATACAGCCTGCTTCGCAATAGAGCGTGATTCACGATAATGAGATAATTATTTTTTCTGTTATTTATTAATACAGCAATATAATACATCTATCTGCCACTTCTTATATTATTGAGAAGCTGATCTTATCCAGCAGATGTGAAGTTAGAGTGATGGTTTTAACATCTTATTTGCTACTATTCTCCAATGAAATAGCCATCAGTATCCAGCCTGATTGAGGTTGAAGTAGATGTTGAAAAATAAAAAATTCTATTTGTACCGAGGGGGGTTTTTGTGTCAGATAAAATAAAACTAAAGTAAAGTAAAAAATGTTACCAACCATCAGGATAACAAAATAAAGTCTAAAGTACTATGCTCCTATGACTAAAAGTCGCTTTCGGAATCTAACCTGCAATTGACTCTTTTTAGAACTTATCCAATTATCCGGAATATAATATTCTTCATATTGTCTATTAATAATGGAACTGCGCATCATAGGATCGTTTTTATATAATTCAATCCATTTAGTACGCCATTGATTAAATTGTTCCCGAGTCTGAGAATTTTTCACTTTATGTCTCGTTAAACCTAGAAATTTCTCATCGGGAGTATTATCATTTCTTAATGAATTCCAAGCTCGAGTGGCTAATGATTCAGGTCTATTCTTATAATTTCTCCAAGCTCTTTGTATAATCCTTGCTTTTCCGAAATCAGTCTTTGGTTTGTCACATTTATTATCCCAATGACCGATCATCAAATCACTAGGTATGAGATAATCAACATATCTTCGTTTAGTAAAATGGAATGTTTTTTTGGACTGTACATCATTGATTTTTATGAGTTTCCAACAATCAAAGCAAATAGCCATATGACTTTTATGGATTCTTGTTCTATAATAATTGAAATTGACAAATTTACCTTTACCAAATGATGCGAATAAACATAGTCGGTGATATACACTAAATTTCCCGGTATTTAATAAATTCTGTAAAGGTACTCTGATCCGTATCGCCCATTGAACCGGTGTTTCATTCTGTTTTATGATAGATAATGTATCAAATAATCTCTCATTATCGAAAATTTGATTGAGTTTATTAGCATAAGTTCCATTATAATGTAATATATACGATACAGCATACTTCATATCAAAACCGGGACGATTAATATATGGTTTAGGAAATGTTTTATCTTTTTTATCAATGATAGTAGCGATATCAAAACCAGACATATCGATTAGGATATTTAGACCTATTTGATTTAATAACTTTATACAATATAAATATATGATTCATTTTTAGTGTGGATTGGGTTCTTGGACCATCTCTTCAAGAGTGATATAATCGTCATATTTTGTGATGTATATGATGAGAATGGGAGAGATCCATATTGAGTTGTAATGAGAGTTGATTTTAAATAATCTATTTGTAGCAATATTATGTATAAATCGCTCGTGTACTGTAGATCTATTTTTGACACCTGGATCTATTTCGGATGTGGAATCTATTTGGGTGTATTATTGCGGAGCAATGAGGTTTCACCTCTACAAGCATATGATTTAATTTTTTCGGCAATAAATATGTTACACACTACACAATAAAATAGACTTTATTAATCAAAAAACTGCCAAACTTCGAGACCAGTCACGGTCGAGTTACATCACTATCACGGGATACAACATTTTACCCAGAATGCCTTTTTTCTCATATATTCGAAAAAAGATCATATAGTTTTCTCTTATATAGTATATAACGAAATAACTGACTTCGAGTATTTATTGCAAGAAGGCAGGATTATATAAAAAATCATTAATATGAGTAGATTGAATGGTCCGATTTTGTATAAGTTTTGCCGGTATTTAAATCATAATAATATCCTTCTTCATCGTCAGAAAATCCACAGAACCCATCATTATCGGAAAAACCACTATCATTATCATCCTCTTCATTGTTATCGGAGAATTCGTCATCATTTTCATTATCTCTAGTTGTGTTAGTATCCTTAAGAAATGAGATATCTTCGTCGTTATCGTCAGAAAGTACTCCACCAAAATTATATTCTTCTTCGCTATTGTAGAAATCCTTGGAGGCATCAGAGGTATTCTCAACTGGAAGCTGGTTTACGTCTTCCAAATTAGAGGTATGATATGATGGGATAGAGGGAGTGGATGTAACACTTACCTCAGTTTCTGGTAAAGTTTCTTCGCATACTTTAGTTTTTATATCAGATTTCGGTTGGCCATGTGCGCGTGAAGAAT